GCTCGGGGCTTCGCCCGCCGCCTCTGAGCCTGCGAGAGCAAAGCGGCGTCAGCGCCGGCACGGGGGGCGGTCTCTGGGGAGCGCTCCGGGGGCGCCGGGCTGGTGAGACTCAGCCGCTTTCGGGATGAGACCGTGTCGCTTGCGGGGCGAGGAGCGCGGGGGGCTAAATCGGTGCGGGGGCGCAGGCATCCGGCCGATGCTTTCACAGCTATGGCTCTCTCCCAGGACCGGGGCGGGTTCTGCGTTCGTTTGGGAAACGCGGACTCAAAGCTATGCCGGCAGCTGCAGTACCTTCCACCGGTATGCCAACGGCTAACCCGCTGAAACGAAGTACCAAAATCAACGTGAAACAAAAATCCCTATGAAACAAAAATCCCTATGCTGTCTTCTGAAATCATGTTGACACCAGGTGCTTACTATCGGGGAGAAATGAAGAAATACACTGGAATGTGTGTCATAAATTGACACCGTCCATGTCAGAGCTGCATTTGATTGTAAAATAAAACTAAAAAAAAATAAAATCTGTAAATGAAAACTCACCAGTGATATGAGATACATAGAAAAGAAATATGGGATATCTAGATACATTCTTTCTGACTATATCTTCTTGTTTTACAGCCTAGTCCTGCTCCCATGAAACACGCAGAAGCAACCGAAGAATGGATATATTTCATGTATTTTTCACAAAGCTTCCAAGTAAAGACAGCAGTGTTTAAGGATTAAATCTTGTCCAGTAAAGTGTATGCCGTGATATTTCCACAGAATGTTTATAGCAGAAAATCACCTGAGAGAAGACAGCTGAAACACCACCCACACGCTTTTTACATGGCTTTTTACTTTTCTTTAAACACTTGCTCATTTTTTTGGTAAGAAAACCTAACTTTGCATTTGGCGAATTGCAAGAGCACACGACATTCCAGGGTAGCGCTATGACCATGCCTACCTAAAAGAGAGAAACACATCTGTATATCTAATCACCATTGTTATTGATAGCAACTATTTACAATTCATTTCTCTATTTCCATGAAAACAGCCACTGAGACAAGTAGCGCGGTGGTCTGGGAGGAAGATGAGTCTTCTCTCCACACAATTCAGTTCTCGCTGTACTTTCACCTGCAAATTCCCTCCATATTTTCAGAGCCCATAAGACAGTAACTGGTGGATTCAGGGGTATCTGGCTAACCACTGCTACAAAAGTAGTCTCTTGGCTGGATCACCACCGTATCTGAGCATAGTCATATCCACAAAGATACCTGAGGTATCTTTCTCCTCATTTGACAAATGTATACGTAAACTACAAGCAGTTAAGCAAACTGTAATTTCTTACCCACATTAAATGTGTACGCTGGAATACTACCAACTGCCTTCACCACAAAATCATCCTCCCATTACAACTTCCCCCCTCCAGCATAAGCCTATTGCCAAACCTGCAGAACCTAAAGGCAAGATGTGCTTGGGCAATGCAGCTCCATAGCAAAGGGAAAGACTAAATTAAAGCCCATAACACCTCCAGAACTCCATATACACATTCGCAACATTAAAATGTCATTTCTGTTAGGCTTGAAGTTTTCCGTAGCCACATTTTCCCTCAATACGAAAGTCAACCTCAACGAGAGGAAGATATAAGCACAACAAGGAGAACACTCTGAGAGGGTAACGTTTTCCTGTCAGATCCACATGATTTCCTAGTATTATGTCCAGAATTTGGAGGATGAGGACCACTCAGAAGCCAGAAACTTGCTGTAGTAAATTTGAAATTGATTTGAAGGCTGAAGAGTTAAATATCTACATCTGCATGTTTAAAACACAGAGTAGTAGCCATGTTATGGTAAATTCTTGTTCCATTAGTCAGTATATTGTGATTGTTTAGTCTATTTTCACCTTAAGAGGACTGCAGTGTTTCTGTTGTAGTTGAATAAGTTTACCTTGTACGCAGCTCCCACTGTGAGGAGTAATGAGAACTGTTAGTTCTAAGACTAAAAAAATATTTTCAGTTGTCCTTTCTAGCATCTTCAATAATGACCTGAAAAAGGGATGGAAAAGCATGCTTACATACGATGTAATTAATTGTGAGATATTAATTGCTAACACCAATCAGAATGGAGAATGCAAAAGACTAGCAAGATTTAAGAAGCGAAGAAATGTATTCAGATGCAAACTGGAATATCACCAGCTAACACACCATCAAGAAAAATCTTCCAGAACATAGCTAGTAAATGCCAAGAAGAACATCACATTTTCAATGGATCATAAATCAGCTATGGCAGCAGTTTACAAAGCAACAGCATCCCCAGAGCAGCCACTGAGATCCTGTAGAAAAAATGAGCAGGTTTTGTTGTGTTACAAGGAGGAAAGTGACATTTTCTAAAGGGATATAAGGACACTGCTTTTCCAGAGATTGCTTGTGAGATCAGACATCTCACAGAAAATTCACCACTGGAGAGAACGCAGAGTGAAACAATAAAAAAGATCAGAGGACCAGAGGGAGTGATGTACAAGGAATTGTTAAAGAACCGAACATGCGCACTTGGCTAAATGATAACGGGGACGAGATTTGGTTGACATCTTCCATCAAAGATATGGAGTGTCTTCAATCCAAATATCTGAAAAGTGCTACCAAACAGACGGAGGAATTATATGGGTGAGTTTGAGGAGTACAGATAACTAGGAGATCAAAATAACTAAAAGAAGCCATGAAACCAAGTATCAGAAAATGCTTCCTTACCATGGGGTCTATTTTCAGAAAAATCATAGATTAGGCATAGCGGAAGCAGAATAACAGAAAGCTTTGAGTAGTCCAACACTAGGTTGGTCGGGTTACTAAACAACAGACCTTAAGGAATAATTCCGTGTTTGATCATGGGATGAGACAGCCCAACAGATTTTGATCTGAATTCATATGGTACTAAAACAGCTCACAGGTATACATGCACATATATTTGAAAACTTCCACTGCCTACGTGTGAGGAGATTTGGAAAAGGGGATTGCAGATATTGTGACGCTCCTGACCTTCTCAAGCTCCTCCCCAGGTTCTATTAACAGAGAAAAGGGAGTTGGTGTCCCCTTTGCTGGCATGACTGGTGGAAGGAAAGTAATGCCCTGGGCCCCTCACGATGATCTGCTGCTGTCCAAAGATGACAAAGCATTCTAGTGGATGGATCATCAAAGGACAGAGTAACCACATGGTAATAAACTGGAGAGAATTGAGCATTTGGGATAATGACAGGAAAGCATGGGACTGAGGTCTGCTGAGAAGAAGCATTTTTTAGAGAGACAAGGTCATGGGAATCAGAGGGTCACAAGCAAAGGCAGGGCTTGCAGGAAGATCATGGAGTGAGCATCATAAATTTAAATTACTCTGCCTTGGAACTTAATGTTCATTGTTCATTCACCAGGACAGAGTGAAACATGATGAGATTCCCTCTGTAACTCCACATGAGCCTGTATCACTATGGAGGTCACAAGACTCAGGAACAACTTTTAAAAGAAGCTTTTGCAGCAGAAGTCTCTACAGAAAGAGACTAATTTTGAAATGCTGTTAGATGCTCTTGAGAAGAGATGCACATGAAGGGCAATATTGTATCTCGCCCTCTGCATTAGTGCAGGGTACAGAAGATTGTAGAATCCCTCCTTTTTCTCTCATGCGGACATCTTACAGGGCAACAAAAGGACAAGCTCCTTGGGAACTCATATCCTGTTCTGGAGAGCAGCTGGGCAACAATGGGGATGTGTTAACACTTGGCCAATGACCTAGTCAGTACAGAAGAGAGATACTCCTGCGATATAATGGCACATAGCAGTAATAGTTTAGTAAC